GGCCTCCTTGCCAGCCTGGAGCGCAGTGAGTACGGTCACTTCGCTTCACTTGTTGCCCGGGCACCTGCCTTCCAGAGGGGGGAAAAACCAAAACTAACAGCAAAAAGCTCAGGGTACTTATTTCTGAAAGACATTTCTGACCTGGGATTCTCTGTCTGATGCTTTTGGATTGTTGTTGATACTTTTGCTTTTGGTATTTTCCTTTGGTTGTTTTTTAGCGTTGCAGTTCCTTTCTTTTTAAGTTCAGTCAGGAATAAAATGTGAAAATGAAACTTGGAGAAAAGAGAGAAAACAGTCCTCGGTCACTGGTGAAAATCCCTGTCCCAGGAGTTTGTTCCAAGGGCAAAATGCAGCTGTTATGACCAAGAGTGAGATTTGAAGAGCTATCTTAAAGAGGAAGATTATAAAACAAAGAAGAAACTTTTTCTTTTTTAAGTATTTAAGTTATTAAAGTAACAGTCATACTCGATCAGGAATCTGGTCAGTGCAGTTTCTCTTGCACAGATTGGGAGGGACTTTTCATAAGGGCAACTAATGACAAGACAAGGGGAAATGGGTTTAAACTGAAAGAGGGGAGGTTTAGATGAGGTATTAGGAAGAAGTTCTTTACTGTAAGGGTGGTCAGACACTGGAACAGGTTGCCCAAGGAAGTTGTGGATGCCCCCTCCCTGGAAGTGTTCAAGGCCAGGCTGGATGAGGCTTTGAGCAACCTGGTCTAGTGGAAGGTGTCCCTGCTGCTGGCAGGGGGGTTGGAACTGGATGAGCTTTAAGGTCCCTTCCAATCCAAACCATTCTATGATTCTGTGAATTGGTGTTTTAAGGGGAAATCTGAACCCTCTTATGATCTATATGTGCAAGACTTTCTGATACTGTTTTCAGAAAGAAAGAAAAAAAAATTCATTTTTTTATTAGAGCTGAAACTCTGTTTGTGTGTAACTCACCTTTATGTGGCTGGGCTTTGGGAGCCGAGGGAATTCCCAGTGATGTGAGCCCCCAATCTCTGCTACGATTGTGGTGTTGTGAATCAGGAATGAACATCCCCTCGCTGAGTGACAGCTGCTTTCTCTGAAGGCGCAGCTGAGCCTTCCCCAGTGCTCGGTCACAGCAACAACCTACAGGTCATGGGGATGTTCCTGATCTGAATGCAACCTGGGAGTCCAGCGCCTGGGCAGAGGAACAGGCATCTGCCAAGTCAGGCTGACTTCAGCCCTAGTGTAGAAAACCCATTTTATTTGTTATCTGATGTATGGTGGCTGGAGCTGCCTGCTGGAGAAACAGGGAGACCAGGACTGCGGTGCTGGTTTCCTTTGATGTGGCTACGGGGTGATTTTACCCCCGTTGTGTAGGTTGGGCTGGCTGAGGTGAACAGCCCCGCGGAGGCAGCGTGTGGTGAGTGATCTCTTGGATATGCTCAGCTGACTGGGTTTATTTTGGACTAGCCAGGGCAAGGGTTTGGACAGTGCTGTAAGGAGCAGCGTTGCTGGGGATGACAAGCCCTAGCTGGATCTTCACCATCGGTTCCTGGTCCTGTTGCTGCAGAATTATTTCTGGTGATTTTGACAGGAATGGGACAGTTCTCCACATCCTGGCTGTAGGCCTTAGAGGTTAGAGAAGCACGGGGATCGTGCTGCCTGGCTGATGGCTTTGGCTGCCCTTTCTTACTCTGTTGGACGTTCTGTTGCTCTTCTTTGTGTGCACTCCATCTTGGGAAGAAGAGTAGGATACTAATATCAGGCTGTAGTGAGCAGCCTGGCTGAGAGGTAAGCTTGATTCTGCTTTGCCCTTTGAAACCTCGTGACTGGGACTCTGTTACCTGTGGCCAAGTCCTTATCAGCAGCTCGCTGCTGTTATGTGATACTGGGGACTTCCAGGGAAAGCGAATGGAGCCTGTTTGTTCTTATTTTATAAGGAAGATGTTTTTCCCATGTAATTCGCAGCTTTATACTTGAGCTCTTTTCAGTGCAACAAGCAGATTGAATTCTTTGTCAGAAAAGAGAGATTAGGAGGGTTGTGATGGTTTGTAGTTGATGAAGTTATTCTGCCCATGCTCTACCCTTTCCCAACTTTTTAAATAATTAGGTAGAATTTTTTATGTGTTGGCAAATGTGAACATCCTTCTTGCTGCCACTGAGGTGCAGTGGTTTCAGAGGAAGGCCATGGAGCACAATTATAAACAGGAAATCATTCTCAACAGTGTCAATTCAGAGAAGTGAGGAGCTGGAAGGAAGAGAGATAAGTCTGGAATATGAAGGTTGTTTGCTGGAACGTCTACTAGAGCTGGGATTTTTGGCACAGATTTTGCTATCTCAGCACAAAGCTGATCTTTCCAGGTCCACGTGTGTTTATTTAACGTGTCGTCTCTTGTGCAGCACAACATACGGCAGGGGCAAAAGAAACATCCCAGCTCAGCCAGTGTGTGCCAGCATGGATGAATCCAAGGGAGGATTTGTTAGCTGAGGGTGGGATGATCCCCTTACCCCTGGGAAGACTCTCAGCCTCCAAAGAGAAAGAAGAACCTGTGGCTGACAGTCTTGAGCAGTTTGTGGGGAAGGTGCTACTGAACTCTAGAAGCTCAACAGATGACACAGGGCTGTGCTGATTCTTTTAGACTTGAGTCACCCAGAACTTCACAGGGAAAATACCTTCTGAGTCGTGTCATGAAGGCTGTCAGGTTTTTGCCATGCCAGCCAGCGCTGAAGTCAGACAGGGAGATTTTTTTTTTTGAGCTGAATCCTGGATTGACTGCAGCACACAGAGTGCTAGAGGACTGTCCCTGGCAATGTGCATCTTTAGGATGCCACTTGCTAGAGTTGTCTTTATTAATCTGTGTGTTGCCTGTGACCACTTCTTTGGGGAGTGCCAGGAGAGATGATAGGAACTTGTGTTTGCATTCAGCTCGTAGCTAGTCAAGTGCCTTAATGGTGAGGATTGCTCTTTTTGGGTGGGAAGAGGAGAGGATTTGCACAAGGTGATACACTGAATCAGGAGGAGGCTTAGTAAGGTAAATCAGGTCAAAACTCTAGTATATACTAAATCCTGATCTAAAGTACTGTGTGCCGTAGTCCACTTAAGCTCCCAAGGTGATTGTAGAACCAGCAGAGGAATAAACTGTTGCTGGTGTGTTTTCTGCCAAAGCCACTGGCATGGGCATGAAGCACATGGAGTTTATGGCTGGCAGAGCAGTTTCCCTTTAATTTCTGGAGGGACAGTTAATACTGCAGCAGTGCAGGGCCTGGGGGATGGACAGATGGCAGAAAAGATGTGAGTGCTTTCTCAGGGAAGGCAACACAAATTCCCTCCAGGGGAATGGCAAGTTCTGTCTTGTAATCTTTGAGAGGCAGGAGATGTGTAAGGTGGGGCAGGCAAACAGCTGAGCACGATGACCCTTTTGATTCTGACCATGGCTCTCTGCTGCTCAAGAGCTTGACCTTAGGAGACCCGTTAGATAGGGCTGTGTCTGTAAACTGCCAGTGATGCTGACCCGAGGAGGGTAATCAGTTGAGACTGGTGGGTGTAAAGAAGCTGGAGGACTTTGTTGTGCTTAAAATTGGAATAGTTCTGGTGTCTTGCAGAGGGTTAGAAGAAAAATGCTGAATCTAGGCTTTTGCCAGTGTTGGTTTTGGGAGATAGAGTCTGTACAGTCCCTTCAGGTAAAAGTATGTGAGGCTTTCCCTGCTCTGACTGTGGGGTTGGGAACTGCAACAGGTTTCAGGTGTGGGCCTTCATTTTTTTTTTCTTTGCAGTAGCTGAAATCAGATCATTGACTGTAACTTCCTGACCTGGGAAATTAGAACAGTAATTAATGTTCTGGTACAGCAGGGTTTCTGTTCCCATCTGATGATGCCACATGTTGCTGCTGAGTCTTGATTTCTTCTATGAATCTGCCAAAGCTCAAAACATCACAAAATATAATCCAGCATAGTATTGCATTATTTTGAAGGTGCTTTTTACTCTGACACAGGATAGTGGTTTTGTACTCTCCACCCTGGTGGCTGTGTGCAGGGTAAGGGCAGGTGGCATTTTGTTGTGTAATAGTCTTTCAGATAATGATAATTTGCTGTAACAAGCAGGAAGCAGTTGTGCAGGGGCCTAATGGCAGGGATGAGGTTTTTTAGCTCTGACTCACAACTGATTTAATGTTTTTGTCTCTCCTGTGGTTGCCTTGCGCTGTGTTTGACCTGGACCAGAAGGAAGGCAGGCAGGATGTCCCAGTCCACGATGTCTATGATGAGATTCTCCGTGTCTGACAACATCACACATTCGACTGCCCTGGTGACAGCATTGGATAATGTGACAGCTTTGACCCCGACAGCAACACAGGCAATCAATGACACCAACATCACTGTGCCACACAAGTGCCTGTTGTTGCTCTATGAGGACATTGGGAAGTCCAGGTGAGACAGGAAATGGGACCACAGTCTGATCCTGGGGGAAGAGCTTGCTTTCCCAGAGCTCGTTTGAGAAGGGGCTGGGGCTGGTGCCTTCCCTTCTAGATGCTGAAGAACAGGGAAAAAAACTGTTTTATTTACTTTTTGCAGAGTCCGCTACTGGGATCTTCTGCTCCTGGTTCCCAATGTGCTTTTCTTTATGTTTCTTCTCTGGAAGCTGCCCTCTGCCAGGGCCAAAATCCGGGTCACTTCCAGCCCAATCTTCACTACATTCTACATACTAGTGAGTACTGCTCTGTGCTTTTGAGCTGATGAGTCAGCGTTTTTATTACCACTCATGAACAATATCACTGAACTAGTGGAGAAAGCCTAGACCAGATCTCTCAGGGATAAAATCTATTTTTAGTTGAAGGTATCCTACAAGAAGTAGACATAGATATCTTTTTTTATACTGTCTGAGTTCTGCTAAAGATTCAGGGACTGTGTCTGCTGGATTTGAGTGGATTTTGTCCTCCTGTGTTGATTTTTCTCCCCCTTTTTTATTATTTTGTTGCTTTGTTGTCTTGGAATCTAAAATCTTTCACTTTCCTTCTAAGTAGCATGTGACGCAAAACCAACTTCTCACTGAGGTACTGAAAGTGAAACACTGGGGTGATTTGTGTGACGCTATTGAAAAACTTGGTCACCTGCCGTAGAAAATGGTGATGTGACAGGGTTTTGGTTAGTCGGGGAATGTAGAAACCCAATCCTGTTAGTTTCTTTCCTGTCATATCAAAGTGGCTGCTGACTTGATGATGTTCTTGGTACTTCTTCAGGTGGAAACAATATATAGGCAGTACAGTTACAGTTCTCAAACATCTGAGATGTTGTCTGTTCTCTCCTCAGTTTAAAAAGGCACAGGTGACTTTTGATCACGTTAAGGGAGTCTCTTTAGTAATCTCTGAACATTGTTACTGCTCACAGGGCATGGTAAATGCAGCTAAGAACCTGCCTAAATTTGTTAAGAAATATAATTCAGAAGCTTTATCATAGGTGCTTTTTGAGATCCTGGCTTGCCTCAGTGTGTAGCATAATGTACTTGCTCTTCCTCAGTGAGATTGGTACAGGTTGTAGAAGTCAGTGTGTTTGAATTGGGTTAGATGGGAGGTATCCTTCTTTGGGCTGGGTACAAGTACTGGCATGGCAAAACCCAAGCATCATCAAAGCCAAGCCTTGGCTAATAGCCTCAACTGAATCTTTGCTGGAAGTCTTGTTGGCTGTTTCAGGCCTGGGCTGTGGGTACTGGGCTTGTGCACAGTTTTGGATAACCAGGTATGCACACAAATACTCCAGACTTTAAAAGTGTTACCAGCTGTTTCCAGTCTGGATTTGCATCTTCCTTTATGCTTCCAGCAACGCACGTGGCTCAGGAAGAAGTTCATGCTAAAGGCTTTGAAAAGCAAATCTTCTGAGAAACCAAAGGGAAGAAAAAAGTAAACTGACTTTATGCTGTTGACTTTTTCAAAACAGAGTGAGAAGCAGCAAGTGATGAAACAGCCTTAGAGGAAATTGTCTTCACTCAGTGTGGTTTTTTGGAGTATGTTACTGGGAAGTGATGATGATGTGGGCTCTGGGAGGATTTCCTTTCAAGTGGCTGTTTGTCATGTCTTGAAGGAAAGCTTTCTTGTAGAGGATTTGATTAAAGCTAAGTTAATAGATAGAGAAGAGTCTCTACCTGCTTAGAGAAGAAACAAAAAGGGTGTGTTTTCCTCTCCGATGAGTTGTTGCTGCTCCACAACACCATTATATTTGGGGATCCTTCTTTGTCAATGTTTTGTCCCAGAGGTTTCCACCCCAAGAGGAATGTTGTATTAGTCTTATTTCATGCCATTTGCATCCTTTCTTTTTCTAAGGAGGAAACATTGTGCTGTAGCAGAATGCAGGTGGCTTATTGGTCATTTCCATTCTCCAACCACCTTGGAATCAGCTCAGACTCTTTTTGTTTTCTGATAGATTCAGCTGTCTCATATCTGCATCATTAGAATTAGCCTGTGACTTGAGGAGTTTTATCTGGAAAGAAACCTGCTTTCTTAGGGGATAAGTCTGCACAGCGGAGGGTAGATGTATCCAACTGAGCTCTTAGTTGCATGGTATGGCTGTGACAGCACAGGAGTTGGTAAGTGAGCCCTGCTGAGCTCCTTGCTGTCGTGCCTAAGTGGTACGTGAGCTGACTTGGGTATGTCAGTGTTGCACTGTGCAGCAGGGTAAGATGTTTTAAAGCTGTTGGCTGCAGCTGACTTTTTTCCTCTCTGTTCCTGAGCATTGTCAAAGTTGAATGAAAGAACTGCAGATTTTAGTTTTATCACAGATCTGAAGTGTGGTAGTTGGTATCGAGTGACTTTTGTTATCTGGTGTGATTGGTTTATTCAGTCATGCCAAGTACTTGATCTTGTAATTTGGAGTGATACAGTTTTGGTCTGTGTTTTGTCCTCCCCTGCCCCAGTGGATTGAAGAGTGGGAAGGCTGTTTGCCTGTAAAGATCCTGTTCTAAGGAGTGGGTGAGACCTCTTCAGAGCTGTTTAATCTGACAGTTGAGGAAGTTTGTTCCTTCCTAAATTCTAAACTGCATTTAACAGACCTGAGGAATCTTCTTCAGCAAATTAACTCTAATCTGCTACAGGAAATTCTTAGTATACGTTATCAGGCTTGAAAGCTGATGTGGAGATGATATTCCAAAAGGTTTTCTGATCACTACTGCATGTGTGCTTTTTGGCATGAGCTAACTTTTAGTATCTTCCTGTGTAGGTATTTGTGGTGGCTTTAGTTGGTATTGCCCGTGCCGTGGTCTCCATGACTGTGAGTGCCTCTGATGCAGCCACAGTTGCTGATAAGGTAGGTACAACACTGATTTTCGAGGCTCTGCTTTGTGCAGTTCTGATCACAGCAATCTACTGTGGCTTCCCTTTTCTATGCATAGAGTGTGGGGGTTTTTTTTCAGTACTCATATCTAAATGTACTATGGAATCCTTTTCTGATAGTTGTATCTAAATGATCACAACATCCAGGGCTGTAAAACAATGGACTTCCTAAAATAGACACACAAATAGTGGCAGCAAAGCTTTCCTGTTGCAGGGGCAGAATGACTGTCCTTTGCAAGAGCTAAACACTCAGATGCTGTTAGTGGATAGGGAAGACCTGGCCTTCGTTACTCTGGGAGTATTTGAGTGGCTCTTTGAAAAATATTTAATTCTTTTGTATTGAAAGCAAATAAAACCAAATTCCTTTTTGAGACTGATATCTGAATGTCCTTGCAGCCACTCTGAGCACAGGGTGAACCCTTAGCAAACAGGAAATAGCTTTGTACGTCCTGTTCCTTTGTCGTTGTTTGACTTGTAGCACAATATTACCTAAAACAAAAAGCTCTCTAGCTCTTGATCTGTTACAAGAAGAAGAGCCACTCACGGCATATAGGTTGTCTGGCTTTATTTTCTGGGTGGTTCTCAATGTAGTTCTTTTACTTTTCCTTTTAATGTTACCTGGCAAAGCATTGTAATGCACTGCTTGTTGTGAGTGGCTGGATGTTTGTAGCATTTTCATTCACTTCTGTTGAATAGATGTAGGTCCAGGACTTGAATAATGGTGAAGAAGTGACGAGGTGCTTTTCTTCAGCTCTGTTGGTGTTGCTGCTAAGTGTATCTTGCTGGGAAGTCATGCAGTAGGACAGATACTCTGTCAGTTTTTCCTGTAAACACATGTTCTATCATGTCTATTATGTTTCTTTTGTTTTCTCTCATATAGATACACACATGCACTGTGTTTTTTCTGAGATTAGAAGTGTCTTGTTAAATGCCTATTAAAATATTGTGTATCTTCAAGAGAGTGTACCATTCATTGTTCAGAGGAAAAGGATTAATAAGCCAGAATTTGGTTCTTGTTCTAGGTTTGACACTGATTTATTGCATGACTACCTGGAAAGTTGCCTCACCTGCTGTTATTTCAGTCTTGTTTCACCAGATAAAACATGGGAATGAAAATCACAAGCTGGAAGTGGAAGGGCTTTAGAGTTGATTATGCTTTAGATTTAGGGACCAGTAGCTTTGGAGGAGTGCAGAATACTGAGTTTATTCAGTCATAACTGTACTGCAGAATCTACTGCTTGGAGAACTGTCCCTGTTTAATATTTACACTTTTGAGGTTGTCTTGGGCTTATGCTCCTTGGGAGCACAGCAGAAAGAACACATCAAAGACAGGTGACAGATCCTCAAGTGTGGCAAACCATGGCCACTTCCTCTCTCTGTAGGCATGCTATCTGCTTGCTCCCACACAGCTGTTGTGTTTCACAGGCATGGACAGGGCTTGGAACAAGCATATGATTAGTGTCCCTACAATCCATGAGGAAGGTTTGTGAAATTGCCCACTCCATTCAGAGACTGCCATCCCCTGGAGCAGAGAGTGGAGTTTTGCTGTATTGACTTCTGACTGGTTCCTGGCTCCATCTAATCATGTTTGTCTGGTTTCTGTTATCCCTCAGATCCTGTGGGAGATCACAAGGTTCTTCCTTCTGGCGATTGAACTGAGTGTGGTGATTCTAGGCCTTGCCTTTGGTACGTGTCAGGAGGTTTTTGAGTGCTTTGAATGTTTCCCATTCCCTTTCTTTCCACAGAGGCTGCATCTGTAAGTTTGTGGAGGTGCTGATTCTGTAAAGTGAAGGAGCTCTAGAATAAAGACAAAGGACAAATTGGGCAGTTTTAGTTAGAAATGTCTGAAAGCCTGATTATATTTACAGATCTATGGCTTGTGCAGTTTCAGATTTAGATGTGCTTTGTTTGTCCTGCATGCATGTGATGGAGTGTACAGCTTAGGCGAACAGTCTGATCTTTGCTTCAATCTCATTTTATTTAAGATGGCTCCTTTGAGGGTCCTTCTATCCCCTCCTTGGTTCATTTGATTCCATCCTAGCTTCATTCAAATGCTTTAACTGTACCTGCAATCTATAACTCTACTTTTTTAATTTGTACAAGTGAAAATGCTGTTTGGAGCATTCCTGTGGGTCAGAGGTAGAGGGGAGGGGTTGGCAGGTGTCACTGTTGCATCTGCCAGTGGGACATCTGAGCACTAGCTTTCATCTTTTGGGGGCTTGTAGAGTAATTTAGGTTGGAAGAAACTTGTGGAGATTGTCTGTTCCAGCATATTCCAGTGCAGATTTCTCTAAACCATGTAATTATTTTTTTTGGTAACCCCTGTGAAGGACTTAGTTGCTTTGTATTAGTGTGGGCAGGAGGAAACCAAGTTAAAACCTGTTGTTTTGTAACAGGTGTTTTGTCTGTGAAAGGCTCAACTCTCCAAACAGGGAAGCAGTTTCTAGTGGTTAAGTGAGCTTTAACCTTCACTTGAAGGTCTCTGGAAATACAAATATTTTCCTGTATTGGTTTTGGAGAGAACTGATTTTTACCAGGGCTGGGCTCACATCCTGAGTCAGTTCTGTATTCCTTAATTTCAGGTCACCTGGAGAGCAAGTCGAGTGTGAAACGTGTTCTGGCAATCACTACAGTGCTGTCTCTGGCATATTCTGTCACCCAGGTGAGTACAGTGGAGCAGAAGAATTAGTCTTTGCAAAAGCAGGGACTCTGCTTGGAGTTAGGCAGTCAGGTGTGGGACTCCTGTCTGGAAAGTGGCAGCTTTGCTCTTTGAATGAGGTTTTGGGGGAAGACTGGATGCTTGTGGCAATGTATGAGGAGCCCCAGAGCCTACACCAGACTGTATCTCCTCGTCCTCTTTATGGCATGAATGGCTGAGCCAGGGTCAAGAAGTGAGATGATGTTTACATGGTTTGCCTTGTTTAGTCAATCTTGGAACAAGAATAAGAGATTTTTCACACCTGAGCCACAAGTTCTGAATCTAGACTGAAGTTTGGTGATAACTAGATGGTGAGACATGAGGTGTGCTTGCCAGATCAGAGCTGTGCAGTGGGCCTCTTGTCTCCTGACTCTTTGAGAGCCGAGAGCTCTTGTTTCCTTTCAAACTAGCAGCTGGCTTGCTAGCTCAGTTTATTAGCTGTGTCCATCTCTCTGAACAATGCAGTGTGTGTCTGGGTTTATTCTTCTCCTTGGTATGTAAGTGGTCAGCCCTGTGTCTCTGTACTTGGGGTAGTGGCAGAATAACACAGAAATCTTTGTTCTGTAACCAGGCTCTTCCTTGCAGAGGCAGGGAGCTGATCATTACCACATGATAAAGCTGGAGGAGCCTCATTAAATATCAAGTGTTTGAGCTATACAGGGTTCAGTAGCGCTTACAAGCACTTTTCTCTCTCCACTGTCTGTGTGGTAGTTCTGTTCATACCATTTTTCAGGAATGAAGTGAATGAGATAGTGTCCTTTCCCAACTCT